CAAAAGGAAAGAAACATCCAATACTGAAAACCAATAGCCACGTGGAAAGAAGCAACGAAAGTCAAAATCGTGCACGTGGTAAACCGATATAAAGTAGAATTTCCTCAAAAATGCTGGTTGATAGCATAAAGCAAATCCGAAAAACTAATAGCCACATGGAAAGAAGTAAATAAAATGGTGCACGTGGTAAAACAAACAGTAAAATATTCTCGAAAATGACGGTTAATAGCACAAACTAGACTAGAAGAGAAACACGCTAATGTGACAATCAAAATCTTAAAACAACCTTGTATTTAGCGTAAGTATATTGAAACAATCAATTTCAAGGGCAGCTAAAGGTCCCTCCTCATCAGGAGAAGAAGGAAAATAAAGGGGAAGGAGTCTCAAACACAAGGTCCTTATCAGCACTAAACGTGGTTATAACCGGATTTTTTTAATCAGAGTTACACTGGCTGCCTACTTTTACTGAACCAGGCTATCTGATCAAACATGTAACACAAAGGACACGAAAAATTAGCGAAGTTAAAAATAGGGAGGGAGGGACAACTGCACCTTACACTCCAAATCTGAACTTTGAATAATGGAAAGCAACCACTGAACTTAATACAGTCAAAAGTCGTTAATTCGGAATGATCTATAATCCGGACATCAAAACTAAAAACTTTCTGCGCATGCGCCGTGTTGACACATGCGCAGGGGCGTTCACGCGTGCGCGTAAGACCTTTTATGACTGCGCATATGAGTGTGCGCAAGTGCAGAATACGTTTTCGCGTGCGCATTTTATGTATAACGGACGTATAAGCTAAATAATTATCTATTTCAGTTAATGTTGATTGCGTTGTTCCTTAATTTTCGAATTGCATCCGGCTTATTATTTTTTGCAGACTGTAAGAGCAATTTTATAAAAGTAAGCTTAAACTTTCGATTATATCAAATAGAATTTCCGATATATATTTGTTAATATGTAAAGGATCTAAAGCGAAAGTATGTTTAAATCCGAAATCTGTTTATCAATTTTCCCGCTGCTCGGCGGTGGGCGCGTAATGAATTGGAAGTTGATTTGTCAGCACTATCCTTATCTTCAGTGCAGATGTTTTTATTTTATTTGGCTTATAATTCCTTACCAAATGTAGTATTTCATCTCGATATGCTCCGTCTTTGATATGATTTAAAACAAGTTCCTCGTCATTATAATTCGCTTCCGATAGCGAAGAAAAGAGACAGAGGTTATTGAAAACAAAAAATTTCGATTGACAAATTAGTCGGTGTTCTTGACACAGCAATTATAGGACTTGAACGGCGGAGCTTTGTAACTGAACAAGAAATTATGTCTGTTTAATAGAATTAAAGAGAAAGTATTATCACATGAAACGAAGCAAGACTTAAACAACTTACATTGAAAGAAATGTTTAATAAAGTAAACAAATAAATATTAAGCTTTTTCTTTTTGCAAATTTTGATACCATTTGTATCATTTGTTCTTTATTTCATAAATTACGGTTTCATATTTTAATTTTAGAATTTCTGCATGCCATCTTACGAGATTTAAACTGATGATCTATAATCCGGAATCGCCAAAGTCCCGACGAATCCGGATTAACGACTTTTGACTGTATCTATTGGAAAGGTACAAGATCTAATCAATTTTGATAGCTGTTGATTAAAATGAAAAAATTTTAAGCTTTCAAGATTTTGTATTACACCCAAAGAAGTGTCTTTTTCCCTTGTATATACGTTTCAAGAGCATTAGGTTAAAGAATATTTAAAAACATATCTTTAGAATTTCTGAGAGAGACTCGTGCACTGGAGGTTAAAGTGTTCTTTTCCATAGCAGTCATTGCTCGCTTTGAAAGAGTTTCTGAATCAAAAATTCATTAAAAGTTGTACAAAATAAGAAATACACACTAAACAAATTCAGGCTACCAGACTCCATATTGAGGTGGAAGACTACTATGTTACTCAAAATTTGATGGCTCTAGCTACCATTGCTTTTTCACAATGCGAAAAAATGCATACATTCATGCAGATTCTTCATTATTTAATTTCTTTAAATATAATACAGGGCGATAAAATTGGGTTGCAACAATTTAAAAAGTGATACGCCATGTACAGCGAATCCTCACAAATGGACTTGCGCTTCATGGGCTAAGTCTAAGAGAGGAGAATTAAAATTTCCCCAGAAAAATTAAAATATATTCCTAGTCAAATATACTACTCAAGATATAAGCAAAATAAGTTCATTTCAAATTAAAAATACTCATGTTCAGAAAAATTTATTGCTTAATTTTATGCTTTATACTAAACTGGTACTAATTTCAAAACAAATTTGTATACTGAAAGGAATGAAATTATATTTGAATATCTTTTTTAGCTTTGGTACATTTTATTGTAATTGTTTATAGTCTAATTTTTAATTCATCATTTTATATTATTTCATTTTATGATCACTATTCCCAAATGAAATCTAATTTAGAACTTATTTTATTTTAAAATTTTTTTAAAGTAATAATTTAAAAAATTAATTTTTTTAAAATGAAGCTTGTTTATAAATACGAGGATGACGTATACAGTACAAAGTCCATAATTCAAACTCGTCGGGACTTTGGCGATTCTGGATTAGGGGTTTTTCCCGATTATAGATCATCAATTTAATCTGGTAAGATGGCATGCAGAAATTATAAAATTAAAAATATGAAACCATAATTTATGAAATAAAGAGCAATTATGATCTAAAGGGTATCAAATTTTACAAAAAAAGCTCAATATTTATTAAACATTTCTTTCAACACGCACATACATAATGTATGTGCATTCTCTACGCGCATGCGTAAAGTTTGTGGCTTTGAGGTCCGGATTAAAGATTATTTCGGATAATGGATGTCCGGATTACAGATTTTGTACTGTACATAGTTTCTTTTTAAAGTTATATTTACGAAATTTTAGGAGTTTTCAAAGTAGTCTCCTTCAGTGTCAATACACCTCTGTACGGGCTAGATTGGGTGAACAGGGTGGATGTTCTATCACTTTCATGTGTTTTTATTCAAGAAATTCAACTGTCAATCTTGCTGAATGAGAAGATGCAATTCCATTATGAAGCATGAGTTATCTAACATTCACTTCTTGAAGAATTTCAAGTACATACTTAGTGGTGTACCAGGTAGATATGATTATCTTCTGTCCTTCCAGCTGGATAACTTTGACCAAACCTGTACTTCTAAAGGAAATAACATACATTATTTTTTTCAAGGCATGTTGTCTTTTAACCATTGTAGGAGAAGAATCATCTTCAAAGACCCATATTTTACTTTCTTGATGCACTGGATCCTCAACAAATAATAATGTACATTTCATTACCAGATACGATTTTAGCAATAGTGTGGTGGCCACCATCTTTAAGTATGATTTAATATTTTCTTTATCAATTCTAACATTCCTCTTTTTGGGACTTAGTTAAATTATGGCGAATTAGACAGGAATCTAGTTTTTTTTTTTTTTTTTTTTTCATATGCAATTCTCATGAATAATTTTATGAATGGTGACAGATCCAATATTAAGTTCTTTCTGCATCGTTTGGTAGGTGGAGCAATTATCATTGATAAATATTCTGTATAGGAGACATCCAGGATTTCTGCTAATGACTACCTTTCTGTGTTTTCATCCTTAAGAAAATTGAAATCTCTGCGAAATTCAGTAAACCATCTGAATACAGTAGCACAAGATGAACCTTCATTTCCAAATGTTAACTGTAGATGTTTAATGCATTCTTCATAATTTAATCCCACTTTAAAATCATAGAACAATAATGTTCTTGCACCAAACTTTAAAATATATTTTACACTAAACTGCTTACAGTTGGCCAATAAAAATTAGTCTGCTAGGCTAAATTATTTCATGTTTTCAAACCTAACCATTCATTTTTTTCTTCCACTTATCTGCATGTGTCTAAAAATTCTCAGAGTGATCTCCATATTACATTTAATAAATGCCACAGAAAAGCTTCTACAGCCAGATTGTTATATCTCCAAGAATCAAATATGACTTGCATATAGTTACTTAACATTTACAACTACACTACTAAAGGTAATTAACAAGAAAAATATTCAGCTTCAGATGTAAGGAGGCTGCTCTATAACAGGAAATGAATAGAGACAAAATTTCTGGTGGCAATAATTTAATAATCCATTACATTACTTTATTACCATTACATAACTTAAAAGAGAATATCAACATTTAGGAAATTATACAGAATCCTGCAAATTTGACCTATGTTGGCAGAGAATTAAAAGTTACCCAAAATATCGAGTTTTACAGAAGAATGGATGGTTTACGCAAAACATTCAATATTTTGAATAACACTTAAAATCCATAACAATTTTGTTCAATACTTTTTATTATTCCAGTCTCTTAAGGTCTCCAATTTCATTTCCATTGTATGCTAATTCGTCTTTCCTTTCAGGACAACATTTTCTCTTACACAGATCAATTCTAATAAGCCTAGATATGAAGTGACAACTATCCAAGAAAACTGAGCGTTTAGCTCAGAATACAATAAAGCCATAAACCTTCAAGTAGGCATGCTTATGGCTAGCAACAGAAAGGAATGTAAATGACAATTATGAAATGCAACAGCCATTTTGTTACTGAGAGGAAGGATGGGATATTTTCATAAAAAGAACAAAATCTATCGCTAATTTTACTTAACTAGAATTTCCACAAAAAGACCAAAACCTGAGACTAAATTTGTTTTACTAGAATTTCCATGAAAAGAACAAAATTTGTCACCAAATTCACCAGGTTCCAATAAATAGAATCATGAAACGAAAGAGACAAACATGTAAAAACCAGAATGCCATAACAAATTTTCTAACAGAGCAGAAAAATATATGGATATTCATACACTTACCTATACACTGTAATTACAATTTAGTAATGTGTTAATTTGCATTGTTTAGGTTTGGTAAAGAATATCCAAAGCTACAAATTCACTCAAAAAAATTTACCATTTGATTGATCAGATCGCTGAGGATGGCTATTGCATGCACTTGGAGCACCATGGGTTGCCCAACGTGTATGTGCTATGCCTACATGACAATTGAACTTCTGATCAAAATCAAGATTTTCAGTTCCTGAAAAGAAAATTCCAGTGTACAAAAATATTCAAGTTAAATGATGAATACTTTTTATCAAAAATCTATATATTTCAAGTATATATTTCTTCTACTAATTTACAAAGAAAAAATTTTATAAATATTCGAGTTTTGGGCATATCAAACAGCTTAGACAACCAGAGATTCATTAGTATTTGACAAAGCTTTTCAACAAAATCAACTGCTTAATTGGCAGTTTTTCAAAAAAATTTTGAAGGCTTAAAAATTTATTAATATGCAGTCTTTTTTTTAAACATAAGTATTAAGTGCATCTGATAGTTTAAAAATTAATTTTTATAGTTAAATGGACATAGGAATATAGATCTTGCAGCTTACTACAAGCTAAAGTCTGGAGATATTGCCATTTTACAACCCTAAAAACTTACTAACCGCTCAAGTATAAAAAAGCAAGTGATTACTCAAATATTCATAAATTTATAAGATTTGGAGAATTATTTGTCACACTTTGTATCTATTGATATATAATACACAAAATTTAATAAAAATAGCCACAGGTTTTAATTCCTTAAATATTAATCCAAGACATGTACTTTCATTCAAGTTTCTCAAATAAGGAGAAGAATTCTATGAAAATTATTTTAACAATACAGGTTTAAAGATTCTGTAACTAAAAAATGTACACAGCATAAAAACTAACTAAATACTATATTTTCAAAGGAAGTGTATATAAATATAAAAAATATAAATAACAAAGTTTAATAGATTTAAATATTGAACATTCCATACTTTCTTGTACAATATACAGGGAGATGTGCAAGAAAGAATTTGATCACTTTTCACTGCTGAGAATTCCTTCTCTCTCACTTTCTTGAAGATAAAGAGCAACTATATGAGAAAAAATGCCTGCTTAGGTAGTTAACAGTTCAATACTAGGGATAGCAGCACTCGTTAAATTTGCAACTGGTAGCACCGAATATTAATTATGAAAGCCTCTGCCCATTCCACACACAAAATATTAGAATGTTTCAATAAATTGATTAAAGCAATGTTAGTATTTTATCAAATAGTGTTTGCTTTACAAAAATAAGTGAAAAATTCAATTTTACTATATAATCCTATACAGAGTGCTGAACCCTTTTTCAAGAAACTTACTGAAAGAAACTTTTAATATTTATTATTAATGTTCAAAGAAATAAAACCTGCAGCTATCCTTTTCAAAAACCCTATATAACATCCATATGCTGGTCAGTCAGTTAAGCCATTGAACTGCTGCAGGTAATTATTTTTACTCTTGATATTTCTTGTTGAAACTTTAAATTTATGACTTGCTCACTTTAAAACAATACTTTTATCTATTTTTTAATTTTTTTATTTTAAGATAAAGATTTAAGAATTAAAATAGCAAGAGCAGCAAGTTTTATCAATAATACACAGAAATATTTTTTTTAAATATTATGTAAAAGTTACGATGCAAGTTCTTGTACCTTGAAATACATAATTATTTTAAGTGTTTTCACACCTTTTTCTAAATACAATTAGAAAACAATATATATAAAAACAATTTATATTAATAGCTTGTAAACAACAAATTATAGCTAAAGTAATTTCACATATTAATCTATGATACAAGATGCAATATTTATTTAAGGATAAATATTTTCAAAGGAAATAAAAATCTAAATTAGAATTGCCTCTTGCTTAGGAAGACAGAAAAGAAGAGTCGTCAGTGCTAGCTTTCTCAAAATAAATTTTTACTTACCCCATATTTCACTTTCTAACATTTTAACTTTTCCACTCCTACGGATGATTTGGATATCATTTCCATTAGCATCAGAATCAATTGCAACGCCTAAGAAATAAAAACTACTAAATAATTGTCTAAAATTTAATGTTGAATAAAGATATCAATACTTATTATAGATAGCTTACAAAATAAAATTTACAGAAAATACTAAACATTTTAAAATTAGTTTACCAAAAATAATGTTACTTGACATAAACTAATGTTACAAAAGATATACTAATACTAGTTTAATTTTAAAAAAAATTTACGTTCAGTCATAATACAAAATTTTAAATTTATACAGCTTTAATAACAATAAATTACGTAAAATCAATAAGAGAAACTACTGCAATTATAACTGTATTTTGAATGACTTTATTCCATAAAAGACTGAATTATATTGATACAGCAGTACACAGGAGAGTCTTAAGCCTAGGGAGAAAGATACCTCCATAGAGGATATTTTAAAGAAAACTAGCTTATAATTATGTTACACATTAGGAAAACACAAAAAAATTATGCAACCAGCTGATTTGCACGATCTGAACTTAAGTCAAACTACTAATGTTCAGTAACTTTACTGTTCTTTTACTCCGTTAAAAGTAAAATATTATTTTTACTTAGTTTTTAGTCATCTAATATTATTTTAGTTTTGTGAAACAGACCTGCTGAATCATATCCTCTATACTCAAGTCTCTGCAATCCTTTGATGAGACATTCTAATATTTCACGTCTTGTACGAGGTTCCAAGAAGTTAAGGTATGCAAATATACCTGTAAAAAAATAAAATCACTCTTAATTTTGATTTTAAATTAAAACTCAGAATTTTAATGAAAAGTTAATGAAATATAAATAACTGTTTACATCAAAGCATTACTGAAAATATATTTACCTAAACAATAAAGTAAATCTGATAAGTGTACAGTATCAATGGCAATATATTAAAAAACGTGCTTATTTTTAGCTAAATATATCAAACACAATCTTCAATGAAACTTGAAAACTCTAATTATGAACTTGCTATTCTTAAAGAAATATATTCATTTATTCATTACAAATAAATATATTTTCTAGTTTTATCAGAAGAATTCAAAGCCTGAAAAACCCAACACTGTTTATGGTTTCAGATTACTATTCCCGGTAAATCTTGTTTTCCTATTATAAGTATAATCTATTATTCCTTCATTTTTGAAAAATTAACTGTTGACAGTGAGAAATGAAAGCAACATTCATGAGAACTGAATTTGAAATGCTAACAGCAAATATTATGTTAAATAATACGTGAATGATAATGCTATATTCAACATTATTAAAATGTTACGGTATAGACATTATCACATATGGAAACGTGGTTTAAATAATTCGTCGGTTATTTGCTGTCAAATTTAAATGAATATTCTACATTTGTAATTATAAAAATTAGAAGAATTTGGAAGTCAGTCCAGAATGTTAATGGCATAAATACATAATATTCGAAGTATGAACTTCTGATATAAAACGTCAATTTTCAATACATGCTTAATTTATAAAGTTACGTCAAACATATATTGCAATACGTGTTAGCGAGCGCGAGAAACGCATCAAAACTTACCGCACATGGTTACTTATGATAAGTACTTCAGGAAGGAATTCAACTGCAGTAGTCAGTACCGTGCCTGCCGGTTAAATGCCCTTTCAGTGCAAGTCCAACAGCATTAAAGGCCCAAACGTTCAGGTTGAAATCCAAGGATAAAGAGACATGACGATCAAGAAATTTTAGAATACAACTATTCCATCCCTCCCTCACGTCACTGTTGTCTTATTCTGAATGGTCAACTTTCAGAGGCTTGGTTTTACGTAAATCGCACGTCATTTATAATGAAAGTTAAAGTAGCTCATAACAACTTTCAAAATCATGTACATAAATGAGAAAGAATTATCGTTCAATATTTTGCACATGCTTTCTCATTTCTTTTATCTCTAACATATGTTGTAAATAACTACCACGCATAGCTGCCACATGTAGATTCTGTTACAAATGGAGTGATGTGTTCATGTGTACAAGATCTACTACAAGATGTAAGTAGACTGCACAAAACATTCCTCCAGTTATCCTGTAATTTGTATACAAGTTAAAATTATGTTATACAACATTTGAGGAATGCAATTTTGCTTTTATGATTACGTATGTACCAAATGAGACTCACTACATACTCATTTTTATCTCGAAAACGTTTCTGATACATCTGAGGAAAATTTAATAGATAAATAATGCGTATCGAAACTTATTGAACATTGTATGCTTTTAAAATGACAGTCCCGATAGGCTGCAGCATTATTCCGCCACGTATGGTAAGAGATGTTCCTTTTTAAAAGAGACCTGACATGATGCTTATACAAACAACCATCGTTCAAATGCGCTTTTGAAATGAAAACCCTAAACGTAAACCTCTTATTCATTGCTGGTGTCAATTTCTTAGAATTTTAACCAGTGCATTCAGTATTTGCCTTGCAAGGCCATTCGCGGTAGTGATTTTAATTTAAAGGTGTGAGAACACCTCGCCCGCCTTCGGGCAAACAATAGTCCATTAATGTGCAATCAGTCTGTGATGTATACGGTCGATGGCAAAGTCAGTTAGCGTCGCATACAAAGCAAGGCATAGAGTCCTGACATTATGTAAGTTCAATAGTTAGTCTAAATTCGTTCATTGTAAGTTGAAGGTACAATACATTCTAGAACGGGAACGAGTCATTGAGAGAATTGAGATCACATGAAGCGACGAGCGACCCTATGTACGATGTTTCCTTTTATACACAGTGTAGATGGAGTTACTCAAATTTTCCTCATGTGCATTCGCTAAAATGCAGATCCAAGCATGTAATACCTTTCATGTATATTTGAAGTTCATTCAACGTCGCTTTCATGGTGTTGCAATTTTAACGGTTAGTTAAAGATCAATCCTGCCGTTAACAGTAATTGTATTTATCTTTATGGCTTATATGTGCCTTAGGTTATGGCCTTTTTTTCCCTTTCCCTATTATTATAAACACGAAGTTCATCGTAGATTGTTTAAGCCATTTGGCATTGTTACCAGAACATGCTAGAGCCTATCTCTGTGTAACATTGTATGCATTATAACATTTCGTTTAATATTCAAAGTTTTCGTTGTGCATATATGCATTTTATTTTTTCACCAGTCTGTTTATCGCCAATCATGCTGGCTGTCGTCAGTTTTCGAAGGCTGTTCAAAATACATTTTCTCGTCAGGTACTCGAGGAAGCCTTTCACCTCTATTTGCCTGGAATGAGGCAGCCGATACATTGGGTTATTAGCGTACACGGTCACTGAAGAACGACTAAAAATATGCAGCGATTGCTTCTTAGTTTCTATGGCTAATTTCTTTCCCTTCTCTTACGACTTCATGAACCATTTTGTTCTCTGGGGAAAGAAAAAGGCATTTCATACACATGGTGTTTATAACGCTCTTGTTTTCATAACTTTTTCGAATCGCGGGAAAACTATTCTTTCAGAATATATAAAGGACAAGACTCATTTGGCCATGAGATTTGTTAAGAGCTGACGTTTCTAGTACTATTGTTTCAGAGTTCGTATCAAATACGACACGAAGGTCGGCCGAAACGTCTTACCTCCAGGAATACAATATTACTGTGATAGAGACGAGATGAGCACTAAACACAGTACTGTTACCTTTGTAATTACAGACAACTATGATTCGAATACAAGGTAAAATGCTTACTTCTACCATGAGAAAAAAAACAGCATCAAAGAAACACAACATCAGAGAAAAGTAAATTTTCGCGCATTTTTTAAGAACACAGCAACAGAAAAATTTAGATACGCATACACAGTTTGATACCACACCAGCCAAACAAAGTGTGGAGATATATATACTCAGATGAGTTCAAAATAAACAGCAATAAGCTAGAACGCATAGAGAAAGCTTCAGGTAAAAGTAATTAAATGTTTGGAGTAAATCACGAAACGTTACGAAACAATCACATAAGACTAAAAAGTGAAATCTTTAAGGCCGCAAAGATTCCTAGAAGTAGCAATAAAGAAATAAAATTTTCGTGATATGATCAATAAAAATCATCTTAAACACTTCCACGTAAGACTTAACAATCATACAGAAAAAAAAAAAAAAAAAAAAAAAAAAAAAAAAAAAAAAATTGCCTGGCAACAAATCATGAATGCGTAAATAAGCTTCAGAAACGGTTAAAATCTTTACGTAGCAAACAGTCTTCCGTGCGAAGGAGATAAAATTCTAAATCTAAATACAGAAATATTTATACAAAAAATAAATGAATAAGTAAACGAAAGAATCGCTCCACTTTGTACCTATTCCTAATTTCAAGGAGCAAAAATTCTCTCTTTTCCTCTCTTACAGCAAATACTGATGTCAAAGATTCTTTCCAAAATAGCTTGTAACTTTTGGCTAAGGGGTTACTTGAAGTCAGAGGTCAACAGAGATCGATCATTGACCATACTGAATGAAGCTATTCTTTATCATGTGATAACTAAACCATTTTCGATGCTGTGCAAAGGGTTGTGCCACTTTTAATGACAGCTACATTGTGAATTGTATAGTATCTTTCTATGAAGATCTGATAAAACTGAAGCACCACCTGTCAAGGGAAAATGTAATTAATCTGACAATAAAACTTTTCATTAATCAATTAAAACTTTCATTATCAAAAGGACATGCAAAATTACCTTGTTACGGTAGTTTTGCGAGCCATTTCATGTGATTTAAATGTACTACAAAGCATTCATAATGTATTAACACCAAATCATGCTTGCCATATAACACAACTATTTTAAGAGAAAAAATAAAAGTGGTCATTTCAAAAACAGTGTTGTTCCCAGGCCTATTTATTTAAGGGCTCAAAGTTTCATTTGAAAACGTCTTCTAATTTTACATACTGGATTTGACTTACTGTTTGTGACTCAGTACGCCTTCATTATCAAGATTTTTTTTATGAATACATTCAATCTCTGCCCATGAATTTCCATACCTCACAACGGATTTAATTATAACGCAGCTTCATCTATTTTTACTAATTTTCCCCGAAACAGTTTTTTTTAACTAGTAGAAAAGTTGTACTCATTTTCCTGTATTCGTTCAGTAACCCAACAATAATAATTTTCGGTGATAATTTCATTTTAAAAAATCTTTCCTTGCTCAGCTTGACTCTCTTTAAGATGGCTGTAATTTTTTTGTCTTCGTAATTTTTTTTTTTTTTTTTTTTTTTTTGTCTTTTTATTGCTAAATTTTTTTTTTTTTTAACTTTATTTATTAAACATCACTTATGCCACACAAAATTCAGTAATTAAAAAAAGTAATTAAATTTAATTTAAAGTAATTAAAAACACCCTGAAAGCTTTTAGATTTTATATTACGTTAAAGGGGTATTTTTTCCATTTACACATACCTACACGTTTTGAGAGTATTTGGACTAATGCCTTTTTGGGCCGAATATATTTAAAACAGCACATAGTGTTGCCATTGCTCGCTTTGAAATCGTTGAGTTTGTTAACCAAAAATTCGTTAAAGATTTACAAAACATGAACATTTTTATGAAGTTGTTCTGCAGAGTAAAATTCTACGCAGTTTTTAAATTTAACGTTTGGTGTTCCCTTCAGCCATTTTCCCGATACATTTAAAAGCCAGACGAAGGCTGGCAGCGAAGCTGCTAGTGTATGTATAAAGATTGGCGACAGCAGTCTTTGAAAGATCTCATTAATTGAGCTAACTTCAGGAGACTTGTACTTGATGCAAATAATATTTAATTTTTCTTTCTTTTTATAAAGTATTTATTGGCATATTAAAAAAATAAATAATTCGGTTCTTAATTTTAATTAAAACAAAAAACTTAAATCTTGCCATTTATATATTTTTAGAAGTTTTTTTTTGGGGGGGGGAGAGGGAGAGATTGTTGAAACTCGGGAAAAGTGCTAATTTTGGTTCAGCTTCATTAACTCAAATACCTTCATCCAAAATGCTAAACAAACAGAGATAAAAATTAAATAGCTAATAAACTTGCATAATACATGTCAAAAGCACAAAAGTAACAACTAATAAAGGGGTGGTTGATTTAGATGGTTCCTTAGCTCAGCGCATCGCCAAGCTTTGTTTTAAAAAAAAATGCAAAATTTATTTAACGTCTATTCTAACTTATTTCTAATGCTTTCCTGGTGAGAAAATTTCTACAAGTGATGAGAAAATGTCTTCGTCTGATACTGAATAAACAAACGCAACAACGAAAAAAATCATGTCCATTTTTATTAAAATTACAATAGTACACACAATACTGCAATTCAACTGTTCGTAACGCATTACAAAAGAATCTAAAGAATTTTATAAAAAATAAATAATAATACTTCAAAAATTTAAAAAAAAAAAAAAAAAATGTTGCGATGACAAGTTTTTTTTGCACGAGTCACAGTCATTGGAGTAATATTGGCTGCTGAAAATTCACTGTTTGAGTTGAACCCTTCCTCCTCCTATTCTAACCTCTTTGGTATCGAGTCTAATATCCCATTTGTGCTATTTAAAAAAAAAGAAAAGAAAAAAAAAAGGGGGGGGAAAGGAAATGTGAAAGGATTCAGATTTTAAAGTGGCAGCAGACGGTTAGTTAAAGGTTTTTACTCTCTATCTGAGCTCGCTTCTCTTGGACTCACTCCTGCTAATACGATCTTTTTCTAAAAATCTTTTTAGTTTTATTGTTAAACATCGCTTTCTTTGCACTTGC